ATCTATTATTATTAAAATTATACTCTATGTATTCGTTTTTAGATCTACTCAAACGAAAACCTTTAGGGGCTGATTGGTTGGAAGAAAAGTGAATGCATTGCATTCCTAATGCATGAGTTTTAAACTTTTGGGTGTTTGATTGGATGCAAGGTTTAAAATTGCGTAAATAAGCCTCGATGCGTTTTTCGTCCGTGAGGCGAGGCGTAAGCCTCACCGACGAAGAATTGCGTAAATGAGAATTTAAGGGTTTTAGTAAGTAAAAAATAATAAGATTATATCATATAATAAAAACATCTAAATTACAATTAAAATTAGGGAAAAGTAAGAAAATAGATGCAATAAAATCATGTCCCAAAGTACAAAACCACAAAATATTAGTCTATCAAAACTCTCAAAGTACAATTAAGAAAGAACATATATAATCCAATCATGTCCCATCACTAAATGGGTTTTCAAGGGAATCTTTTCACCCCTTCCTCCTCTCCTATAGAGTCCAATGTCTTCCAATCAAAGCATGCCCTCATGAAGAAGTAGATTAACACTAACAACTATTACTAAAGATGATGAATAGAACAATATGCCGGACTGCCGGGGGTCCAAGGGGGTGCTGCCCCCTAGCGGGGTTCGACCTGAGCGGTACCGAGTGGTACCGAGCATGTTCCTTAGCAGCGCCCCCCGGAACAAAATTTTATTGTAAGAGTAATTTTGAAGTTATGTTTGTTTTTGAAGTTCGTAAGTTGTTTGTATGGGAAGATACCGAGTGATACCGAGCATGTTCTTTAGCAGTACCGAGCATGTACCTTGCAGTACTGAGTGGTACCGAGCATGTACCTAGCAGTACCGAGCAAATACCTAGCTGTACCGAGCATATACTGAGAGGTACCGAACAAATACCTAGCTGTATCGAGCATATACTGAGCGGTACCGAGCATATACTGAGCGGTGCCGAGCATGTACTGAGCGGTACTGAGCATATATTTGAGGCGTACGCCTCAAAGGAAATTGCGCAATAGCGCTAGTGAGGCACGCCTCACTCCACCTAAGGTGTACGCCTCATGATGTCTGAGAATTGCGTAGGCTTTGAGGCTATTTTGAAGCAAATTGCGCAAAGGCGCTCCTCAGATTGCACAATTTTAAATTATGATTGGATGAAAAGCAAATCCAAAGTAAAGTAAATGCAATATATTCCATCCTAGTTCATATTTGAGGCAAAACGTTCTCTTCCGTTTTGGCCGTGAATGATTTACACCTGTCGTTCGCTTGCTTGATCACCACTGATAGCCACTATAGTCCGTCGGCAACCCCTTGCCTCCGTCGACGACCTCTAGCCACCTCCCTTTGTCTGCTGGCTCTCACCACCGTCGGGCACCGCTGCCTGCCGCGGCCCATAATGCAAGTTTTCCTTCAACTTCCTCAGCAAGAAGAATATCATCAGCAAAAAGCATACACCAATATACATCCTCTTGTAAATGTCTAGTAAGAACATCCATAACTAACCTTAAAAGATATGGTTTTAAAGCTAATCCTTGATGTAATCCAATTGAAGTAGGAAAATACTTGGTCAAATCACCTTGTGTTTGAATACAAGTAACAATTTTTGCATAAATATCTATGATTTCAATATAAGCATTAGCAACTCGTTTCTTTTCTAGAACTCTCTAGAACACTTCTCATGAAACTTTATCATATGCCTTTTTAAATCAATAAATATCATATGTATATCCTCTTTATTCTCTCTATACTTCTTCATTAAGCCTCAGTAAATGTATAACTTCAATGGAAAACCTATCCGACATGAATCCTAATTGATTTTGAGAAATATTAGTATAACGTCATAACCTATGCTCAGTAACTATCTTCTATAGTTCTAATGTGTGACCATTAACTTAATTCCTTTACAATTCACATATTGTTGTACATCATCTTTATTCTTAAAAATAGGAATCAACGCACTCATTCTCTATTCATCTAATATCTTTTTAGTCTTCAAAATAATATTGAAAAATTTTGTAAGTTAAGAAATTCTTTCATCTCTTTAGCATTTCCACACCTCTGTTGGAATATCATCAGGTCCAATAGTTTTTTCACAGTTCATTTTATTTAAAACCACTATAACTTCGATTTTATTAATATGACTATAAAAATATATATATTTTTTCATTTAGGGTACGAAGGTCACTAAAGTTAGTCATATTATTACAATATTTTTTGAAAAACTTATCGAAATATCTCATCCAACTTTGTTGAATATCCTCCTCTAATAAAAACACTTTTTGATCTTTATAATGCACTTCACTTGAATTAAATCCTTACTTTTCCTATATCTTTGTTTCATTAACACTTCTATTGCTAGGCCCCAAGTCTTAGATGAGAAAAATGGAGGGTTGTGTTAGATAGTAGACAATCAGCGTAAAACTTATCAGATAATCATTTCAAATTTACGAGCTTTTGTTGATCAAAATTATTTTGGAAGATTTGCAAAATCAAATAGGAAGAGCCAATGAAGATATATTGTGACAACAATAAATTGTCACAAGTATTGCTCATAATTTTGTACAATATGATTGTATCAAGTATGTAGAGGTGGATAAATTTTTCATAAAGGGAAATTGGAAAGTGGGTTGATTTGCACTCTATATGTGTGAATAGAAAATTAACTTGCAAACATTTCAAAATATTATAAGCAAACTTGGAATGATGAATTTATAACATTTAGTTTGAGGGGAAGTGTTGAATGATCCTTGGGCCCATATCTCACAGCCGATTGCTCAAATAGGGCTTCCTTCCTTCTCTCACACTGGCTAAACCATTGGTTGGACTCACAAATTAACCAACTTTGGTAGGGATCATTGAGCATGTGGATTAAGCATTCTAATTGTTGGATTGATTCTCTTGTGGCCTTTGCAATCTATGTTTCTCATTATATTTTAGCTGTCTGCCCATCTTGGAGGAATATTTTTGTAAACATCTTTGATTTATTTTCATTTAAGATTTTTGAAGAGTATTTATATAGTTCCACAATTTGTATTGAATAAAGCGATGAAATTTAAAGTAGTTTTTCCACTTTTCTACTTTTTATAGGTGGAGTAAATTTTGATGGTGTTGGAGGATAGAGTTTAGTAAGATTGTCTTTGTAGGAAGGCTTCACAAGTGATGTGGTGGAATTAGTGGGAGTGCTAAGGAGGGTTCTATATGATGCTTGCTTTATGTTTGTGAGGTGTAGGTTTCTAGTTAGTAGGGTGAATTGTGCATTAAGGACTAGTTGATCTAATTTATCTAACATCTTTTTCATCATATTGCATTGATAATTAGGGCTATAATTAAGTTGCAAACTTATTAATATCCAAGTTTTCAAAGTTTTAAGGAGTGTCGTGATGAAAGAAGATAATGAAGGTTGAAAGAACAATTTTGGAGCTCTTGTTCTGTCAAATAACAATCAATAAAAATGCATAGCAAACAAGTCCTTACCTAACTTTTCTTTTGAAGAAAAATCTCCACAAGTTGATTCTTGATACTGATGACTTGTTGCACTCTTTAAACTTTCAGGAGCTCAGATGCCAGTATTTAGTTTTTATTGAATTTTTGTATATTTTGGCGTGAGGTAATTGTGGAATTGTAAGATGGTTATTGAGATAGGTGTGGATGTTTTGTAGTCAGGCAAAGAGAGAAATCAAGCTTATGCTGAAAGCTACGAGTGGAGGTATGGAATGCAATGGAAATGACAAGGAGTGATGATATCTATGCTAATATTGTAGCCTTTTCAAAGAACTATAAAATAAGCACACCATAGGACTTCATGGGCATAGAAGTTAACCAAAACTACTTAAAAAGGAAAAGTCAATAAATCAATATTCAATATACTTGAACTAGATCACAAATACATTTATTTCTTCACAATGAATTACTTTACATGAAGCTTTGCTTAAATAGAGAGGGAGTGGATGTCCAAAACTTGTATGGTTGATAGGCTGCATTTAAATTTGCTCGTTTCCAAACAATGTAGGGGTGACTATGAGCTTGTCTTGTTGATCTTGATCATGATATTACTGATTTTTGAAGGTGCGAATGACCATATAAATAGGGTTTGAAGAATAACCATTCATTTTGTCCACATGCTTGACCTTGAACTTTCTTCATGTAATTTAACTTCTTGTAATTGAGCTTTTTGAATGTGAAATTCATCATGATGTTTTTGTTTGATATTTGATTTAATGCTGCATCGATTGGAGTGTTCATGGCAATTTTTTGACTTCATCTTGGAGACTGACATTTTTATTTTTTATCCATGGTGTATTATTTCTGATAAAATTTGATATTCACTATTACATTTATGGTGTTGAAGAGGTATGCCAAATTACACTTTGCTATTTTCTATTAGTATTGCAGGCATGTCCAACAGCTTCATGGTTGTTTGTTTCTGCCTAATCGAGCTAAGCTTGTTTAACTCTTGCCGTGCTCGAGCTCATTTATTGAGCTTGAACTCGGCTTGTTCGAAAATTATTAGGCTTGAGCTCGACTCGGTTACTCAAACTCATTAAGCAAGCTCAAACTTGACTCATGAAATAATTAAAAATATTTAGTATATATTTATTATATTATTTCAAAATTAGATTTTAAATATATTTTAATTTAAACAAGCTGCTCGACAAGCTTATGAGACGGAGCTCGAGCTCGACTATAGGCTAAGTTAGTCCCATAATATGATATTGCTCTAATTTAGTCCTTTATTGTATAAAATTAATCTAAAATGATTTCCTTGGGATTAAATTAGGATAGTTTTGGATCAATTTTATATCACAATTATAACATAAGGGATTATTTTGAATTAATTTTGTATAATTGAGAGACTAATTAGAATAATGTGATACTTTAAGATTAAATTGACTAGTCTAACTATTTTGCATCTCAAGCTTATAATTTAATCTGCTTTGTTGATTGTTCTATTTTCATCCTCCACCTTCAGAGTTGTAACATTTTGCCATGATTTTCATTTTCTTTAGGAGCTCGGGCTGCGCTGGAAGGTTAAAGTACTTTTTGCTAGAGAGAAATATTTGGGTTCAGATGATCAGGTTGAAGATTGTAGAGTTTACTGGTTTTTCTGATCTTCTATTTGCATTGCAAACAATCTATAATTCGTGCTGGACTGGAAGAATCTCATATTCTTGTTTGTTCCTCTCAACCTGTAACTCATATGCAGCTGAAGCTGTGATGGACGAACAATAGCTACTGGTAAAACCGTGATTTAAGTTTATATTTTATTTTCCCCTATTTTTAGAATAATTGACCCACCCTTTTTTTATGAGAAATTGAGAGTTGGGAGAAATTCTTGTGTTAAAAAACTTTGATATGATCAAATTTTGATTTGAAAAGGGCTTAAATTTTTGTTGAATTTATTTTGAGATAAGTTTCATTTTAAAATAAATTTTATAATTTATATTCATTTTCATAAATATGTTAGGTATGGATTAATGCTAACTCTGAAGCCATGTAAATTTTTAATTAGGCAGACAAAAAAAATATTTATGTAATAAAATTACATGACACTTTTTATTTTGATTGGTACGCTTAAACAATCAGCCCCAAATATAGCTTTTTTTAAAGGTTTATTTTTTAAATGAATTGTACAAGTACTCAATTTTATTTTAACTGATAAAAATCATTAATTATGAGATAATGCATTTAAAAGTATATTTAAACAGTTAGGGTTCAATGTGGGTGTCAATTATTTTATTTGATAACGATTTTTAAATTATGTGCAAGATACAAATCTTTCTTCATAATATTTTTGTTTACTCCCCAAAAAAAAAAACAATTAGCACCAAAAACAATAAAGAAAAAATAAATAAATTTCTTATCTAAGGCGACTCTACTCTATTAAGATTGACTTATGTTTCATTTGAGATAATTTTATTAATGCTTTTTAAAGTAATGTTTAAGCACAATTTTTTAACTAAAAATTGTTGTGCTAGAAAGCTGTTTTAGAAAGCAGTAAAAACTCTATATTTAAAGAAGACATAGACTTCGTTTGGGACAGCTTTCTTCTTGATTCTTAAAGCAACTTTTTTGTTAAAAATTTAAAATTTTTATATTAGAAAGCCGCTTTAAGAAGCAGTAAGAAAGTCATCTCAAACGAAGCCTTAATCAGCTACTCTATTTGAGCTACTTATGTTTAACACAGTCGAGCCAACTTATTTATAAGAATTTCTTATATGTGTTGGATTTAAATTTGTTTGTGGAGGATGTCTCATCTTATTTGTAGGTATAATTAAGTGGGTAAGTGATCCTAAAATTTGTGTGTGTGTGAGAGAGAGAGAGAGAGAGAGAGAGAGAGAGATTGAAGGAGAGGCAAGTGCCCAACTATTGACTTGGCGAGGAATCTCTAGGCTACCTTATGCAGGACGAGTTCTTTGATAAGCTCACAAGTGATACATTTTGATCTGATTGGTGTGAGTGATATTTTCCTTAGATTGTTCAATTGATTTTCAATCGTGAGACCCAGCTTGTAGGGTGAATTCCACTATCGTAAGCAGCTAAATATCTGAGATGACATTTGCAATAGTACAAAAAATATGATATGAAACATATTGAGGCGAGTGATTGAAGGAGAGAATTGTTTTTCAAAGTCAATAATGTGAGACATTGAATAGTTTTAAAAAATATATTTTTCAACAAAGTAAGAAAATTTTAATAAGCTATCTTTGTTTCTAGTTAGTATTGCTAAACTCGATAAATTAGTTGTAGATCTCAAATATGTCGAAGAGCTAGAACTTAGGTTTATTAACGAGTTTAATCTGAGGTTTATGTGTAAAATGTGCATACACGAAAAATAATAAAGAGAAGTTATTTTTTTCGAACATTTTTTAATGATGCAATTAATTTTTTCTACTGTTATTCAATAGATAAATAAATATTGCTATTATAAAGTAAATAAAAAAAATTTAATTTCTTATAAATATTATAAATAATTACAAAAAAAGTAAAAAACTAAACAATAATTTCGTAAAGATTGTCATACACTAGAAATTAAAAAAAAAAAAAATCTTTTATAAAAAAAATTCTAAAAATTAATGAACAAACGTAACAAAAAGATGGAAGAGCGCGGAGCTTAGGTTTGGACGTCAAAGATTACCGAGAGCACTCTTTCAGCTCTCCATCTTCTCGAACTCGAAAGCCTTTTCCCAGCTTGTCTCCATGGATCTCCTCCGAAGTTACGCAGACAAAGCTGATGATGACGTTGACTCACCGGAAGAACCTTTTAAAGAACCTGAAAACACTAGCGATTCCCCTTCCTCGCCGGTTACCTCTTCCGACTCCCCTCCGCACATGTCCCTCCCGGTCAAAACCTCGGCCCCGCGCGTCGACGACACTGCGCTCGCCCTAACAACCGCCGTTTCCGATCGCATAATTCACCGCCCTCTCGATCCATCGCAACACGCCGTCAGTTTCAACCCTACCTACGACCAGCTCTGGGCCCCGATCTATGGCCCCGCACATCCCTATGCCAAGGACGGCATCGCGCAGGGCATGCGAAATCACAAGCTTGGTTTTGTCGAGGACGCCTCAATCCATTCCTTCCTTTTCGACGAACAGTACAACACCTTCCACAAATACGGCTACGCTGCCGACCCTTCCGGCCTCTCCTACGTCGGCGATCTCGAAACCCTAGAACGCAATGAAGCGTTGTCGGTGTACAATATCCCTCAGCAGGAGCAGAAGCGCCGCCGCCTCGAGCTCAAGGGTAATGAAGCCGATGCCTCCGCTGAGACGGCCGATAACACGAACCCGGGCACAGAAAATCCCGCGTCGGATGAGTGGCTCCTCAAGAACCGCAAAAGTCCTTGGTCCGGTAAGAGGGAGGTGATTCAGGGGGAGCTTACGGAGGAGCAGAAGAAGTACGCTGAGGAGTACGCGGAGAAGAAGGCTGAGAAGGAGCGAGGTGGCGAGGGTAGAGGGGATAAGACTGATCCTGTCGACAAGAGCACTTTTCATGGTAAGGAGGAGAGGGACTACCAGGGACGTTCTTGGGTCGCTCCTCCCAAGGATGCCAAGCCTTCTAATGATCACTGTTACATTCCGAAGCGGTGGGTGCATACTTGGAGTGGCCACACCAAGGGTGTTGCTGCAATTCGATTCTTCCCAAAGCATGGTCACCTACTCCTCTCTGCGGGCATGGACTCCAAGGTCAAGATCTGGGATGTGTTCAATTCGGGAAAATGTATGAGAACCTATATGGGACACTCCAAGGCAGTCAGAGACATATCCTTCTCCAATGATGGTGCGAAGTTCTTGAGCGCAGGGTATGACAAGAATATAAAGTTATGGGATACTGAGACTGGTAAGGTGATCTCTACTTTTTCCACTGGGAAAGTTCCTTATGTTGTGAAACTCAACCCAGATCAAGACAAGCAACACATTCTCCTTGCGGGGATGAGTGATAAGAAGATTGTCCAGTGGGATATGGATTCTGGGAAGATCACACAAGAGTATGATCAGCATCTGGGTGCTGTGAATACCATCACTTTTGTGGATAACAATCGGAGGTTTGTTACCTCTAGCGATGACAAATCTCTTCGTGTCTGGGAGTTTGGCATACCGGTGGTCATCAAGTATATTAGTGAGCCGCACATGCACTCAATGCCATCAATTTCACTTCATCCTAATGGCAATTGGCTGGCCGCACAAAGCTTGGATAACCAGATTCTTATCTATAGTACAAAGGAGAGATTTCAATTAAACAAGAAGAAAAGGTTTGCAGGGCATATTGCGGCAGGCTATGCTTGTCAGGTCAATTTTTCACCGGATGGACGATTTGTAATGTCAGGAGATGGGGAGGGCAAGTGCTGGTTTTGGGATTGGAAGAGTTGTAAAGTCTTTAGGACCCTAAAATGCCATGAAGGAGTTTGCATTGGGTGTGAATGGCATCCTTTGGAGCAGAGCAAGGTTGCAACTTGTGGATGGGATGGCATGATCAAATACTGGTAATAATGCTATCTTATCATAATTTTGTTTTCTTCTAATTTATTTCGGCTTGCTCTTCTAGGAAGCTCAATCTTCTCTTTTATACTAGCATGCTTATTTTAGGACATCTTAAGTTGGATTTCATTTATACGCATCAGATTCATTCTTCTGTAGCTCAATGCTATAGATGAGGGTTGAAAATAGGTTAAATATACTGGCCTCTTGAACTAAAACTGAAGCATATATGATATTTGAGAGGTTTGTTGACGTAAAACAAAATTAAGAAAGAAAAAATGAAATAATAATACATTGATCTATGCACGTTCATATGTCAGTTGTTTGGCACTCATTTATGTTTATTTTAGTGACTCTTGTACTGAATGCCTAATACTGAAGTAGTTGCAAGTGCTTATTACTGAAATACCATGTCAGAAACTAGAGTAATTACGTAGTTGACTGTGCCCTTGCGTACATCTTGTATGAAGATGACGTATTTGTGCACAATTGGATTCACATTCAAGTGGTTCTAATTAAAACTGAGTCAATGGAACAAGTTATGATTCTAAAAAGATTCCCTTTTAGGTGCATAAAGAATGAAAAGTTTATCAACATGTGTGCTTTGTTTAGAACCACTTGGTTTCCTGCATATTTTTCTTTGCAGCATAATTACGTATAACAAAATAAATTTTGGCTGGTTGTAATTATTGAAAATTATATTATATTTACTTCTAACCTATTCGGGCTATTCCTATACTTTGCCTTGTTTCGTACTCCATGGACTTGTCAATGATTTTGCACTCCATAGGTTACTTGTTCTTTTTGTTAATCAAATGAGCTTGTTTAATGAAAAATAAAAATAAAAAAATCTATAGTGACGACAAAGCCATTTGAAAATAACTTGATTAATCCACCTAGAACCTTTTTGAAATGAAATATTGTGTGGAGCTTTCTAGTCACGTTTTGGACTTTGTATCCATTAGTTTTATTGTTTTACAGAATGGAAATTTTCATACGCTATTTCCTATGTTTAGTTGTCATTGATACATAACTCATTGCAGGTTTAGAATTAGGACTAGCTTTGTTTGATTGGTGGTCAAACCTTGACATTAGCACGCTTCTTGTACTGATTTTTAAAAATGGCTATGTTGCAGAATAATAAATATAACCATTATGTTTAATTACAATATCAACATTTTGCTATAATCAATTCGAAATGATTTACAAATGTTCATTTGTAAATGAAAATTGCAATCTTTGTTGGCAGGTTGCGAGAGTTAAAAGAACTAAACTTGCATTGTTGTGTTTTCACAAATTCACCATTTGAATTCATGTTTCATATGTTGTACTCAGCTTAAGGTCATGTCGTCCTGGTTGCAGAAAACAACTGTTTTAAGTATATGTTGTCTGAAAATATTTACTTTTTTTCAGAACTCATTCAATTGTTCATCAAATACACACTAAATGCCCTATTCCTTTTAGTCTTTTACTTATTTCCAAAGTACTTTTTCAAAAATAGATCACTTGGTTGGCTTGTGCATGGTCTATTATTGGTTGAATTTTTATGTGACTTGGCGTCTTTGGGCATGGATACGGTTGAGTTTAAGTATATCAGTTCAGCTCTATTCTTATTAGTATTATTCCCTTTTATGCTTCTTAGAAAATAAATCTATGTATATCCAGGGTAGCGGAATAAGATCAAACCAACCGTTGTAGTAATAAGACTATTTCAAGCTGAGTCATATTTGTAACTATTATATCTTTCTTAGAAGGCAGGACTATATTACAACATTTACAAAAGAGTGAGGGCATTAAACAAAAGAAAAGAAAATAAATGAAGATATTTTTTTTATGATTTAAAGTTGGGTGATTAAAATATAGAAATACTTCAAGAGTATTTAGCAAATCACAGAGATTTTGAGGTAATTTTGTAAAACTGTGATTAGCCTTCTCTATTGCTAGGGAAGGCAGCGAGATATATCATAGAGAATTGAGGAATCTTAGCCTACTCTTGTTCTTCTATTTTTTTTATTGGTAGGAGCTAAGGGAAAGAGATCAAACCTCATTTATTCTTCAATTGGTCTAAGTTATTACAATGAGTTAGGACTTGGTAGGGGTTTTAAGGATGGTCCCTGCTCCTCTATTGGTAAGCAAAGAATCCTTGCAGCTTTTAATAATAAGAATTTAAATTAGGAGCTCAGAGCTTGAGAGGATAATATAATAATAGGTAAATCAACCGGGGTTTTCATATTTGGGCCATGTTTCAAATAGGTCCATGGTTTTGAAAACCTCCATTCAAGTCCACCACATTTGTATCATGCTTCACTTTTGTTATTCTATTATCACAACCATCAATTGAGTAAAAAGACATAAATATGTTCATATTTTCCCTCAAAATTTCACCACCTCAGATGTTTGGTTATAAATGAACAGAGTCGAGTGCATTTTTCAAGTTTGTTCATTTATTTTCTTATGAGTTTGAGCTGAGTTTAAACATGATTTGAGTTTTAAAATTTTATTCAAGCTTGTTTGTTAATTTTCTCTTTGAGCTTTAATCAAGCCTAATTGATTATATGTTTGATACTAATCATTTAAACATATAGCCTAATTACTACTAGAAACCATCACTGAATTTATAGATTTTAATAAAAAAATTTTGGCATAATTCATTAGTTGTTGTTTAAATTGTTTGGTGAAGTTTAAAATTATTAAGACACTATTTAAAACTATATATCTAGCTATTTATTTAATACATATACATCATAATATGCATAATTTTTAAAAAATATTAATTATATAAATTTTGATACAATGACTTATAATAAGTCATCAATAAAAAATTAAACCATTATGAAATAAGTTTTCATATTTTTAGCAGGTTATTTGTTAAACAACAAACTAGTATGTTCATGACATAAATGAACAAGCAAGTCATTGTTCAAAATTGTTAATTTTTATATGATGAGCTTTAAAGTTTTATTCAAGTTGTTCAATTATGTAAATAAACAAATATAAACGAGCATTATACAAACGAGTATCGAGTTGTTCATCAAGTACACTACAAACCTACGTGGATAATATTGCACCCTCACATTGCCAAAAACCCATTATACAAATGTTCGAGCCTTGTATGAATATCAATTTTCAAAAGCTTGTTCAAGCCTATTTATAATTATTATTATTGAGTTTGAGCTATAATCGTTCTTTATTAAACAAGTTTAATTGAATATATGTATTATATTAATGATTCAAACAAATAGACAAGTCTTTTAATCTATTCATGTTGCTACATATTTTCATCTTATACTTCAGTTAATTTAAATAACTTTTGAAGTGCACTGAACATAAGAATATTAATATAACAATATTGAATGAGTTATTAAGAAGTAATTAAGTCATTATTAAATTAACATTTTTTAGCTACGAGCTATTTGTTGAACAAAAAGCAAGTATGCTCACGAATCAAGCTGGCCAATGTTCAAACTTGTTCATTTATATGTCGAGATATAAAAATTTTACTTGAGTTTGTTCAACTAGATAAATAAACATATATAAATGAGCATTACATGAATCAACATTGAGCTGACCGTCAAGTGCATAAATTACTTTACAAACCTAGCCGCAATGACTACATAAAGCAATGGCTGATGCTTTCCACCTTCCCCGTTATTTACAATTTCAACGCATAAAGGATGAACTCAAGTTGCAACTTGTGCAGCCAATATGATTTTAGGTTGTTATGGCTTAAGACGGGAGATCGGAGTGTAAGCTTGCTCTCTAAGCAGATACAGAGAGTTTAAAGAGAGATCCAAGCAGAAACTTGTTCTCTGAGAGTCTGAGTATATCTAAATGGTCTGAAGGGGGATTTAAGTGGAGGCTTGTTCTCTGAGCAGATATCTATAGGATTTTGAGAGATCAGAATGAAGCATGTTTTCTCTCTGTCTCTCTTATTTCTTTGGAGAAGAACCCTAACTGAGGAGAAGATGCTAAAAGGATGGACCTTTACAGCTTGATGGGGCAAGGCACAATGCAATTAAGAGCATACTTTAATCTTAGTTATAATGTCTTTTATTCTACTAATAATTTTAACTCTACTAGTAACATATATAGTTAAAGGGTTTTAGAGTGCTGTATGAGTTAGATGGCTGGGATCCTACAATAGTAATTATATAGCATTGGTGGTATGAGTTAGATGGTTGGGGTCCTACGACAATTATTATATAGCATTGGTGGTATATTAATAAATACATATATTTGCGGCAATTTATTACTAAAAATATCTTTTAAGTTTAAATTTTCATTTAATTTTTTTTATCACTATTTCTTTAAATACTCTTATAACATCCAAGGAAAATTCATCAGTTGTAGTAAATCACCTTTTTTGCTCTTCTCGTTAAATTCTTCCACAGAATCTTTTCCTTCACTGTTATTCTCCTAGCAGGTCATTCTTTGATCCATATGATAAAATTAGACATTATTCCCATCGATGAATTTGAAAACATTTTTCAGGCATTTAGGAGTTGTTGGCTGTTGAATAGTTTGCTTATTAGTGCTCAGGGTCCATTTTGTTGCTTGCAGAGTAAAGTGCAATTTCAAGAGAAAATTTTGTTCTCTTTTTTGTTTGAACAAAATCTTTGCTTGTAGTAGGTTTGTGAAGTTTAAAATTCATGTTTATTTGTTATCATATTCAACTAAATGATGGACACAACTACTTTTGATCTGTTGGTTGAGAGCTTAGGTTTCAAACTAAGAGGTCTTGGATTCAAGTCTTTGTGTTTGTGTTGTGTGTGTGAGTTTGCCTTAAATGACCTAAATGTCTCCAAAAAAAAAAAAAACTAAATGATGGCACGAATTTCATGTTTTAATTAAAACATGTTCTCTATCCACTAGCAACCAAATGATCCCTTAGTGAATGTATGGTTCTTTCTATCGGGCATAATGTTCAATATTTCAACTCTTTCAAAAGGATCATCTTAGCCTGGGATCATTTTTATCCTTTTTAGATACCTGAATATTCCATGTACTTATCTTTCTCTATCCATCAATTCTCTTCCTCTCTTTTTGGAATCCTTGTTCTCTCTCAATTTGATTAGTCGCAATTAATGTAGTTGTATGGTGGCTATTGGACGAGTCCTTGCTCCAAACATTTAGTTTTCTTTTTTTTTTTAACTGTGTACTTACTATTCGCAGCCTAGCAGTTAGGCAATGATGAACCGCTGTCAGCTCCGCCCTCTCTCTCTCTCTCTCTTCCCACCACACCCAGTTTAGCATATTCAATATTCACTGTTAATAAGCAAATTATTGTAATTTTGATGGTCGTTATGATTATATCCTAATTATTTGTCAGATTTATGTGAGATTATATATAGCTATACTGCATATTTCTGATAACACGGAGTTGATCTTATTGCTGACCCAATATAATGAGCTCTTGATCGGATTACTGGCTTCAAATTTCATTTTATTTCTAAGATATGGAGATGTTGATGCAGACTACTGAGATTTAACTGCAAATGTTTAACGAAAATGCTACTAAAACCTTAGAATTGCCATGCAAAAGGGTAATGAAAGAAGCAATACTCAAGCTCTGGTTTTCAAAATTCATTAGATTCTTGTATTATGATTTTAATTGGTTAATAATATATTTTTTTCATCCCAAATAAATTTAATGATTTTGAGATTTATTATGATTAAACTAAATTATTTGCCTATTCAAGCGGCTAGTATGCTATACTTACACTTCATTTATAATGTCCATATTGTTAGAATTCTTCCCATTTTTATAAATTAGATTTAACTTATTCGGTTTACTTTTTTGAAATGCAGGGACTAATTTTATTTACCGTCAGCACACATCTGTTATTATTTCATGGCTACAGGATCTTTCGCGCCTTCCAATGCAACATTATGAGGAGACGAAACTGTTCTGTTACAGAAGGGCGGGTAAGAATGGCCCACTTGTGTAGAACAATACAGATTAAGTCGAGATATTCTTTCCTCTCATGAGTGTGGAATCTTCAGCTGGAGCTTTCAGGTTATAAATATTAGATTATTGAATGAAGAAAATAACGAAGCTTGCGTAGTTAAGTTTTGGGTTAGATTGCTTCTTTAGAATTTGAACTGTGTTAATGAAAATTCTTGGGTAGAAGCGTAACTTATGATTGGCTCAGATCTGTTATTATTTATGTTTACTTTTTTCCTTGAATTTATAGTTATGATAGTAGAAGTTTTCTTTTTGGTAATTGTGAACACCAAAGTGGAAATATTAAAAAAAGAGAAATTAGTGTAAGTATGCCCAGGCCTGTGGTTCGGGAGAGAAAAACAATCGATCAGTATCTCACTCGGCCATGACTCCCAACATCAATTGTAGCAGGTTTAGGATTTACAATCTGTTTCCAATTATTTCTGTGCTTTATTTTGACTTTGTTGAAGATATGATTTGACTGTCGTATGAATTCTTATCGATTTATTGTCCAGTTTCAAAAAATTTCAAGAATTTTAAGAAAGAAATAAAAATGATCATAAAGTTGAAGCAGTTTGAAAGTGACAATTGCTACCTTATAATGCATGTATTAAAAGCCTATAACAATTGCTACCTCCTTCATTTATGTTTACTTGCATTTGTGGAATTATTATTTTTTTTTTCGAATTTTGTTGTATGTTACGCCCAATGGTTGCTTAGCTTAGTGGGGCTTGTGGACGAACTGAGGTGATGACGGCCCGGCCCACTTCATTTGAAGAGATTGTTAATGTGCCTGAAATTGGCGAGTTCAGCCATAAGCACGAGAGATTATCAAGCAAACGATGAGAGGACGAAACGGAATAGGAATATAGTCAGGTCATTATGTTTTATTTGGCTCAAACTTGGCCAACAGATATAACTCGTTAGCTCGTCATTAATACAAATCACATGCATAATGATGACTTAAAGAACTTCCGCTTTATTGACGAAGCCAAAATACCCCAAAGAGAAAGTGGCATATTGCATACAATGAATAAAATTATTATATTCGAGAAAATAATGCTTCAATATCAGTATTTGCATTAAATAAATTGAGAAGCATTTACTGAAGTGTTGGCGTTAGATTTATTTTATATTAATTTTATTATTTTTTTTTAAATAACTACACTACAGCAAAACACTCAGGGACCAAATAAGCATACATTACAACTCGCCTATCCCCAATTTATCTTTCATCAACATAATTTAGCTTTATTTAGGAAATAAAAATTTACTATGTGTTGGCCTATCCAATTGTTTAAGGAAAAAAAAAAAAATCTCAGAAAACAGAAAGCTCAACTCACACATACACATACATATATGTATAGATATACAGTAAAACAAGAATCAAACGACAACCACCACATTCCCAAATAATCTATAATAAATTTGATATAAATAAATAAACAAAGTGCGTGCGTGCAGTGGGAAGAGAGGAAGCAATCAATAGATAGATATACTGTAGAACAACAACAATTACATTGGTTGGAAGGGAAGGGAAGAAACTAAACAACCGCCACTCCACCATGAGACCAGATAGAGATAATATCATCAATGGGCGCTCACAAGAAATGGATTTTGGCAAACACCACATTCTATTGTTTCAGAACCTGAGTTAGGAACTTGAACCTGCAAATCAGCACCAATAATTTAATTACTCATGTATTGCACTTATCTTAAAATAAATCCGACTTTTGAGATAATCTCCTAATACAATTTTTTATTTTCTTTTTTAGAGGTATAATGATGGATAAAATGAATACCTGTAAATGGACGGTGCAGATAGGACACGCCACTTCCCTCATCTTCTTTCCAGATGAATCAGACAATTTCGAATCTATAAGAAAAAACACAGAATAATGTTACTATAAAGTCCGCCTGAGTGTAATAAATAAGCAAGCTCACGTATTCGTTACAAATTACCCGATGAAGGCTTGCGATTTCTCTCCATCTCTTCCTGTTAGATGGCGCAAATTTAACAAATATATTAGAATTCAATAACTTGCATAAATTAAATCTTTAGGAATCAGATAAAAATACACTATATTATTAAAAAATCATGTTTATTATCGAATTTAAAAAAATATAAAAAATGTCATAGCAAATCATGTTTATTATTGTATTTACCATAGCAAACAGAAAAAAATAACATCATATGGTGCGGTCTATCAATCAAAAACCTATAAAGCATGAATATTTTTATATCCACATATAAACTAAAGCAGTAGTTTACAAATATACAGCAATAGGCTAGCATTCGTGATCATATTCCAAAGGACTTAAGAATGTCAAATTACGGGAGGCAGAGGCGAAGATTCCGCCGAGAAAGTCCGCACCCCATGGGGATCCTCGGTAGAGAGGGAAAAGGAAGAAGGGAGGGCTGTTTTGACATCGACTATGTTTTGTATGCTTTAAATAGTTTGTTTATGCTAGGGTTTAGGGGAGGGATACTGGTGTTTGTTGAATTTAGGTTTTCTTAGGTTGTGAGGGCTATAGTAGGCGGTTAGGGATTTCGGAGAGCCAAATCTTCCTCTCCAATTGAAGATCCAATTGTATCTTGTTATTTTCTTTCATATTTCTTGCAATAAAAAATTTTGTAATGTGTTCTTCCCAAATTCTCTTAGCAGTTCTCTGATTTGGTAGAAATTACATCTAGTTCCTATCAAATCAGTATCAGAACAATTTTTTTGGTTCAAATACAAGTCACACTCTTTGAATTTTGCTACATTTTCTTCTCCGTTCTTGCTGATTTTTGCTGTTTGGAAGCCAGATTCACATCAAAGTTGTTTTTTGTTGTTGGAGCCTAGATCTAATTACCTATGACAAGAAGAAAGGTAGAAGTAATGGAAGGGAAGAACGGACAACTGAAATGAGAGTTTGAGGAAAAAATTTCAGAGTTAGAAACTCAAATTTTAGCCATCCGTGAGAAGATCGATAGAAAGTTTGCTATCATGGAGGAGATGATGAGGAAGATGCTCGAGGTCAGAAGCAACAGGAGCAGTCGACGACTAAGTGGGGAAAATCCTAATCCAATAAGGCGAAGGTAAGATCAGGAGATGGATATTTTAGAGAGAGAAGAGAGTGCCTCCCCGAGAGCCTATTCCTATGGATAAGTTTGGTAGAGGGTATGTGGAGAGGCGTGAGGGGGTTTGGCATGATCGAATGGATGCTAAATTTGAAATAAGAGGGACTAATTATAATCCGAGGGGTACAAAATTTGAAAGGGAAGGGATTAAATTTGAAAGAAGAGAAGTAGATTATGATAGAAGAAGTGTTGAATTTGAAAGGAGAACAAGAATTTTGATGAAGGGTATGGGTACAAGCATAAATAGGGGGAACGGAAGAGCTCCGAGGATAAGGAAGATGAAGATGCTTATTTTTTAGGGAGAGGATGCACATGGTTGAATCTACAAGGTGAAAAGGTATTTTACCATCAATTGGTTAACGAAGTAGGAGAAACTGATGACAGCCATAATGTGCTTAGAGGAAAAAAGCATTGGCATGGTACCAGTGGACGGATACGAGATAGCTCATATGGACCTGGAGGAAGTTTAAGGACTGCTTGTTGTAATGTTTCCAAACCAACAGGGGAGAGATTTTTATGAACAATTCTTTGATCTAAAGCAGGAGACGACAATGGTGCAGTACCATGAGCAATTTGAGCACCTGGCCAGCCAACTAGACCGGCTTTCGAAGAATATACTAAATGGGAACTTTATGACAAGGCTCAAAACTAGAGATTCGGGCAGTAGTTAGAGTGATGATGCCTCGTGATTTGGAAGAGGTTATGGAACTAGCCCAATTAGTGGAGGTCAGAGGCACCATAAGAGAGGATTATAGGCAATAGCTCAGGAGGTTTGTACAGGATGATCCCTACCTTTTTTCATCCAAGGAGCCAACATCAAGTATTCTTAGGGAGACCCCGAAGAAGAAGACTGTAGGAGGGAGACCTGGGGGAAACGTCGGGAAGTTCACAGAGATGGAGTTACAAGAGAAGAGGGCAATGAGGTTGGTTGTGTTTCAATTGTGATGAAAGATATAAACAATGTAACATATATAAGGACCGCACTCTTTAGATTCTCATCGTTGTGATGATGAAAAAATCAAGGGAGCCGTACAAGAGGATGAAGCAGTAGCAGCTTATGTCTTTCCACCTTGCGGACAAAGTGGGTCTTTGGGATGGGGGGTATTGATAGACCGGTCCCTCCAAGGCTGGCCAGGGAGTTACGTGAGGTAGAGGCGAAGATTCTCCCTGGAAAGTCCGCAACCCTTAGGATGGGACTCGGGGGAAAAAAATTCAAAGGGGTAGGGAGGTTAGTTAGGAGGGCAAATGAAGAGGGCTATTTTGACATTGACTATATTTTGTATGCTTTAAGTAGTTTGTTTATGCTGGGGTTCGGGGGAGGATACTGGTGTTTGCTGAATTTAGGTTTTCTTAGGTTGTGAGGCTCTAGCTGGCGGCTAAGGATTTGCGGTAGCCGGATCTTCCTCTCCAATTGAAGATCTAACTGTATCTTGCTATTTTCTTTCATATTTCTTGCAATAAAAAGTTTTGTGGTGTGTTCTTCTTCTCAAATTCTTCTTGTGGTTTGCTGATTTGATAGAAATTACATCTACTTCCTATCAATATCATCATTAACATATTTTAGAAGCATAAGTTATGAAACTAAAATGATATTCAAAAACCCAAAATGAAAATCAACCTGTAGCTTCCTAGCAAGATCTTCATGTGTCTGCGACACAGCAGAACGGTTGCCAGCCTCCTTAGCAATGCTCAAGTTTTGAGTAACTTCCGCCTGTAGATGAAATAATATTACATTTTTTTTTTTTATGAAATAATATTACATTAATAGCCAAAAAAACAAAATCTCATACTGTACTGGGGACAAGTCAATGCTGAACTAAAAATATTAACCCTTAAAAATATGTAGAGAGATTTGTGTACGATAAGTTAACAAGTCAATTCCTTCTTATTGGGCATCGTGAATCGTGATCCTTCTTTTTGGGTATTGAAAATCATGGGCATTACTAAACTTTTTTATTTGCTTTCTTGTAAGATATTAAATTTTGATTACTATTACATTATGTTTTGAAAGGAAAAAAAAAACATGTTTGTTGAACAAGCTTTGCTAAAATTGAGAAATGTTAATCTATGAATAATGATTTTTTGTGTGTTTCATTGTTCCATCATTTCCTAACTTGCATCAGTTAACCTTAGAACCTTAAGTGTCATGTATCAAATTGATATCATAACTTATTATAACATCATCACATACTAAAAGTAGGATATAATGCTTTGATCAATCAAAAGATTCATAAAAGATACACCTTAAAGAAAATTGGCAAGTCAAAGCCCTAAACAAACACAAGTTAACTATCAAAAGGATTTAAATTACATGCTTGCATTCAATCAACACGTATAATCTAGAGAAATTTTCAAACTTCATTGACAATTTGGAATACTTCTTTGAAGATTACCATTAATATGATTTTGAACAACTTGTATGTGCTAGTGGTTCACAATCATTTGACAAAGTATTACAAATAAGTGGCCTAAACTAAAACATAAATTATAATATTTGTCATTTAGTGAGTATAAATATCAATAGCATGAACAATTTAACAAAGTAAGCTACAATCTACCAAAAACCCTAAATGAGGCTTTATCCAAATTTTAAATATCAAGGCATGTTATGAGCGTTATGTTAGGACAATCACACATATAATTAAAATCCCAAAAGAAAAACTATTACCTTCTCTCAAGCATGATATTAATATGATTAGAAATAGGATTCAATATCAAAGTTAGTTAACATATGACTGCGATCAAATTTTATTTATTTTTCAAAACCAAATTAATAATTTTTAAACAAATTAAGACCAAATAATCAATGAGAGAAATCAAATTGAAGTCTCTACAAAGAAATCCTTAAATCTCTTCTGAAGCATATCAACTAGGGGTGTAAACAAGTCGAGACAAGCTCGAGTTACCCCTGTCTTGAGCTTAAGCTTTATTAATTAATAGAGTTCAAGCCTGAGCTTTATTTTTCGAGTTCGAAACGGCTCTTGAGCTAGCTCACGAGTCATCTTGTTTAGCATGAAAGAGAGAAAATGATTATGATAAGAGAAATTATTATAATAAAATGGTTAAAATAATGAGAAAGTAGAAAATAAAAATAACTTAATATAATAAGTGAGCTATATTTTTAAAATATTTTTAACATCTTTGAACTTAAAACTATATATGTTAAATTTTAAGTGCAATTTATATTAATATTTTTTAAATGAGCCGGCTTGCGAGCTGACGAATAGAATCAGGAGTGACTCAAGCTTGGCTTGTTAGCTCATCGAGCTCGTCTCACAAGCCATTTATCGAGTCGAGCTCGAGCCAGCTCACAAGTCGGCGTGTCACTTACACCCCTAATGTCAACCATACGACAGAAGAATCATGTGTAGTCGGATATGATCCTAATAAATAAGTATAGTTCATGAATACATCATCGATGATGTATTAGATACAAAAGAAGTTCTACAATTGCAATTGGAATATATATTTGATTATATCTAGTTAAAATATGTATCTATGTTAGAACATGACTATGAACTAAACTTATACTTAAACAAGAGTTAGAATATGAGCTTGAATTAGGTATTAAATTGGAGTTTGAGGTCAACTTTATATCTACATCTTCATTAGAAACTAACCTTCACACTGAAAATGAAACAACAATTGAATCTAAACCTAAATTGAAATGAAATAGCAATTGAATCTAAACCTAAATTGCAATTAGAACATTAATCGAATTGAGTGGACTCCTGAATGTGAATTTGAGCTTTTAGTAGAAAAGAAAACCATTTCTTGTTGAGATTAATAAACTAATATTGAATATTCTTTGCTTTCCATTTTCTCCTTGCAAATTAACATCCAACACCATACTCAATAGATTTTCTACTCTTGTTCCACAATTAATTTTGTAAATTATAAGATTTTGTCCACTATTGATGGTAGATATCACATGTTTCTTGTGTCAAGGGATGTCATCCTTCTTTATGATGATTCATACTCAAAGGTTTCCAGATTTGCATGAAAACTATAAATATTTACTTCATCAAAGCCAATTTTTTTAAAAAAGGAAGAATGAAGCAATATAAATATTTTTATTCATTAAGCATCATGCGTATTATTATTATTTTATTTTTTAGATTTTTATTTCCTAGTTCATTAATGCAGTTCGTGTCTATGATAATGGGATGCATTTTCTATTATTTTAGTTATCTTTTCGAGACAAGCCTATCCTTAAAAGGTTTCGATCTGACCCATGACATTCCAAGTTCAATATATTTCAGGTTTATATTTGGTTAAGAAGTTAGTAACTTCAAGAAGAATTAAATGAAATATTTGTTTCCCTTTTTTTCCTCCCTTTGCCTACCAATAATGTTTTCATGTTATCAATTTATGTGCTTCCCATTACTTTATTGTTTCCAACCTCCAATCCCGCTATTTCCCTTCTTGCCTTCTGACTTTTGCAAGCCCACACTACACGTCACTTGATCCCTGAAACAATAGCAATCAATGACTTATCCTTAATTACCTTTTACGACCTTTGCATTCTCAAGACTTTAGCCCCAAATGACACTTTTCTACTTTGGTTCCTTCAGCACCGTGCGAAGCCTTCCACTACTTTTTTTCCTAGCTTGACTTCTACTATTTCCATGTTGAACTTTCCTCTGCCAATGTTGGAATCTTCATATTCTCTCTTAATATTTGTGTACTGTTACATGTAATTCTTTAAGCACTTTGCAGGTCTGAACGACTACTTCCATAGAATGTTTTTGTACAAGCATGATGCTTAAATTAATACTAACTGATCTCTATTCTCTATCTCGTATCATTTAATTATTCATGTGTGAGCCATTGAAGTTTTGTCAAGTATGATGTCCTGGATTCCTATTTTGTTGCGTGAGTATTAAACATTGTTGAGATTTAATAAATGCTCTTAATTTTTTTTGGGATGTTTCAAATTTTTATGCATGTTATATTATTGTTTGAAATGAAAAAAAAAAAAGTTATTTTGCATTAAAAGTGACTAATATTTGTTAATGTTGATAGTTAGAACATCTGAATTGTGATTTTTATGTGTTTTATTGAGCATCTCATCATAGGTTACATTAGTAAACAATTGAACCATAAGCTATGATGCACCGACAGGGAGATGGCGACACGGAAACGACACGACACGGACACGGGACACGGCAATATTTAAAAATATAGGACACTGGTGTGGCGTGGACACGACATAATATTTTTTTAATATAATATATAGAAATTCATATGATATTATAGTAAAAATGACAAGCAATAATAAATCAATTTCATGATAACTTGTTTAGCTTATAACATAAAGATGTTTAGTACAAAATGTCTAGTACAACCACAAAAATATAAGCAAAAAATCATTTAGTACAACATGAAGGTCAAACTACTCAATAGAGGGAATGATAGAATTAGATTCAGATGTTGGTCTTTGGCCTTCAATATCATCATCATTGAATATCATTGCTTTCAACTCTGATTCATCTAGAAAAAGATTTGCAACCTCCAATAATCCCATATCATCAAGGCACTCGAACCCATCTCCAGCAACATCCCACTTCTTGTTATCACCTGTCATATAAAGTGAGGAATTCCTTGATAGAAGACGAAGATTTGTATGCACATAAACTATATATTCAGCACGTTGTGGAATTATTTTATTTATCTTCATTAATTGAATAAATAAGTATGTGCTCCAATTCTCTCACAACAGGAACAGGATGATACTTGACCAAGAAGTTTTATTGCTATTGTTTGAAGAAGCGGTGCTGAAGCTCCATGAATCAACCACCACATTTTTTGATCCATCCTCAATCTATCAACCAAAAATTCTTAATCACCAAAATCATCTAAATATCCAAAGAACTTTGCAAGTTCTATATTAATTTTTCTTCTCTCCTCCTCATTTGAGAAATATCTTTTCAGGCATATCTTTCTCATATTTGAAACTTCTAAATCTTTTTGTGGTGAGACACGTTGAGGGTCTTCTTGAAGTGATTCTTTACTTGAATACCTTCAAATAATACAAACTACAAAGCATATAAAATTATATGTTCATTTACCAACAAATTTAAATTAATTTAAAAGATGAATATAAATATACTTTGAATTTAATGAATGAGCCAAACAATGCAAAGGTGTGTTGCTTTTGCTCCACCTATCTTCAAGAATGATATAGACAATGTTCCAAAAACTTGAGTCTTCATCATATTACTTCTTTCATATCTGTATATAATTTCTTTCACTTTTGCTAACATAGAGAAAAAGGATTCATGTAGCCGACCCCACGTAGTGGGATAAAGGCTTGATGTTGTTGTTGTTGTTGTTGTTGCTAACATAGAGTCTCACATCTCATAAATCAAATGTAGGCATGATTTATTTGTGTCGGCCTCTCTTAACATATCATAAATTGGATCAGTGAAAGCCAAAATGTAGTCTACATTATCCCACCACAAATCATCTAAGACCTTTTCTTTAACATACCTTGACTTCCCAACATCATCTTCTCGATAGCTAGACCACTTCTCACTAATCACCATAGATTGAAGAGCATTTTTAATTTGTTTGAATCTTCTCAACATGATTATTATAGAGACAAAATGAGTTTCAGCAACAGCTAACATTTTCAAGTGGGAGAAATCATTAAATATTGAAAGTCTCATCGAATGGTTCATAATAAAATTTCTGATCAGAACAGCGTCATCTGCAACATCTGTTATCCATAGCATTCAACATAGATGATTTCATTAGCCTCTATATTCTTTGCTGCAAAAATATTTTTTAGAGCAAGATTTAAAATGTGCACAACACAGGGTGTCTAAAATATATGGGGATAAGTTTGCTCCACCAATAATCCTGCAGCTCTACACACAGGTGCATTATCTGTAATAACCTGCACAATAATTGAAGGCCCAATCATGACTATCACATCTTTAATCAAATTGGCAATAAAATGTTTATCCTTGTATTCTCCTTCACAATTCACTGTTTTAATGAACATTGGATAAACGGCCATGAAATTAATAAGGGGTCTTCTTTGATGATTTATCCAACCATCACACACCAAACTAACATCTTTTTCTTTTCACGCTTCTTTTGTTGGTTCAAGCAATGTCTCAATATGTGCTCTTTCTCTTTCTCATAATTTCGATCTTAATGCATTGTAGCCAGGTGGAACATATCATGTGATGTTGATGTTACATGCAAAAATGAATGCATTTTTATAATGAGGATTCCTTGCAAGATTGAAAGGAAGTCCCACTGAAAAAAACATCCTTGCTATTTAACCATCTAATTCCTCTCGCTGCAGCAAATTAAAAGCTTTCTCTAGATGACTACTGGCTACTCATTTTCTTTTCTTTGTTTCATATCCTTCAATTCTAAATGATAAAACTTGATCAACTCTCACAGATGAGGAAGAAGTGTGGGATGAGCCATGAGTAGATGGCAAATGTATCTCTTTAGGGAGTGTCATTTGGATCCTAGATTCAGCTTCATCAACTTGTCTGTTCAATTCAATCAACTGCGACGTAGTAATCTTAGGACACATTTTTATTCCATGGCCAGAAATTTTAAGTATATGTGCTTCACCCTAGAATAAGATCCTTTGTAGGTGCCACCACAATAATTACATTTGAATGACACATTCCCTCCTTCAAATGTTTTTCCTAACTTTGTAACATGAAACCATAACAGCTTATCAGTTTCTACAGATGGCTCTTTTGAACCTTTACCTAATCCACTCCCGCCAGCAGCAGAGCTCATTTTGCTAACAAACCAATCATACATATGAATACATCAAATTAAATTGATATGAAGTAAAATCAAAATATCACAATAATAAGACAACATGAATACAACAATATACCGGTCTGCCGGGGGGTCCAAGGGGGCACAGCCCCCTGGCGGGGTTCGACCTGGTGGTACCGAGCATGTACCTAGCAATACTGAGCGGTACTGAGCATGTAACTAGCAGTAACGAGCATGTAGTGAGCGGTATCGAGCATGCACTGAGCGGTACCGAGCATGTACCGAGCATGTACCTAGCGATACCTAGCAGTACCGAGCATGTACATTAGGTTTTTCAACAATGAAGAGAAGAAATGGCGAAATCCACTTACAGGTATTGGCTCTCTTGCGCGCGGAAAGTGCTTTGTTTGGCCTTGATTTCGAACTTTGCCTCGAATGACCGCAAAAATCACGCAAGAACGAAGGAATGGGAAAGACAAGCTCTGCTTGGCCTCGGCTCGAGCGAAAATGACGAAGGAACAGGAGGCAAAGGCAACGGACTCCGTTTGGCATCGATTGGGAGCTCTACCGGTCCGCCCTAGAAGATTTCTTTTGTGGATCGGAAAAATAGGGCTTCTCGTTCGTGGAAAAGGCTAAATAGAACAGACAATTTTATCATTTAATAACCGGACACGCGTGTCCGATTTTAATTTTAATTTTTAAAATTGCGACACTCCAATGTCGCGTCGGACACGTGTCCATGCCGTGTTCAGCGCGTGTCCGTGTCTGACACGTGTCCGACACTGCATACCCTCTTTAAGCGGAGTGTCGGTGCATCATAGACCATAAGCATCCTACATCAATCTACATTTATTCCTACCTAATAATTCAACATTAATTTTATTTACTACCAATCTTAATTGGTTCATTTTTTATTCTTCAATGTACATGTCCAAAACACCTAAATCTATTTTTCACTAATCTCATTAGGTTTTATTCCCACAATTTCTTTAATATAATTATTTCTCAATCTCTCCCTCATAAATTTCCCATACATGCATCTTAATAATATCACATTCTCCCTTCCAACTTCAACTAAAAGTTACATAATCTCAACAAAAATAATTGACATCTCAACATATGTTACTTGTCATTTATTTTGGGAGAGCAATTTTTTATAAATGTTTGAAAAGCTGTTGTGAGAAAATTAATTTTTTTTTAAGTTGTTATGGTAAATAATTTTTGAAAAAATTGGACAGTAACTTTCTTATAGCTAACACACTTTATCATATTTGATTGTAAAAAACAACTTCCCATCATAAAAATAATTTAGGAAAAGCGGCTAAAAAGTGTCCATACAGAAGTATGGCAGCTTTATGAAAAACATGACCCCACCAGTCCCTTAGTCTAAATCACCAGACTATATCTTTTGAAGTTTTTTTTATTCATATAACTGGGCAGCCAAATCGGCTGCATGTATCACAATGATTACAGAAATATGCATTCTTCAGGATAGCTGAGAGCTAATATCACGAATCAGGGAAAATTAGAAGTAGGCTGACAGGACCAACTAGTTTAGGAATGAGAAAACCATCAAAAGAATTCAGGATGAAAAATATTCAATGCGCATTGGTGTGACAGAAGCAGGGCCCCTCTAATTAACTAATTAGATAGTGTTACAATCTGTTAAAAACATAAACGTACTATCATACAAAAATTATTTTGTTAATTTTAAAAAATTATTCCAGGAAATTTTTGGACAAACCTCAAAAAACTTAATTGAAGTCAATCAAACTTCTAGGCTGTATTAACTGGGTCAAGAGTTTGACCTGAGTTTGGTTGTTGAGCGAACAAGAAATTAGCTAGCGGACAAGGTACCCCCAGTTATAGCAGCATAAAAAGTACTTGAAAATTGAAATATATAATTTTTTCCTAAGCGAGTTTAACATTAGTAATGTTCTTCTTACGTAGATTGCAAAGTATTAGATACATGATAAAGAAAGATACCATGCATCCGTCACAAACACGGACTAGCTGAGCATTCTCATCTGTAGTTAGAGCAGTTCTTCCTTGGCTACATTTGTCGCAGAAGATATCACCACAATTCCTACAATGATGCTGAAAAATATAGTACAACAGAAAATAGAACTTTGTAAGTCTAGGATTTTAGCAGGCACTAGATTGCAATAAAATTCAGAAAGTTATTATTACCCTACGAACAAAAGGCCCAAAAGCAACGGCACAAGATGTGCATTGTGAGACGGCTTCGTCTGGAACCTGAAATCACCAATATGTATTTTAAGAAATTCATTAAAAAGATTTGGCAGATGATTAATATATCAACTAGTAATAAAGCGCAACACCTAATATACGCATCTACAAAGCACCCACACTAATCACATTCACTTGTAGAACGTATGATAATGCAATCCTCAGTCAGAGGCTCCTGCTTCTCCGTAAACTTAATAACACTCAAGTTTAAAACTTTTCACATAGCAATCTGTTTGCGGTGCTGCTATAGATGCAGTCTATCTAGAACAGACGATAAATAAACAGAATAAAAACTGAAGCCCAGGTGGCCATTATAAATTTCTTCTAGCAAGAGCGAATTAAGCCTGCTTGCAAACTCAAAATAACATAAGATGTATTGAAGAAGAAACATATTATCAATAGGACTGATAAGGATTTACCATTAGAATGAGAAATTAAAGCAAAGATCACCGTAGAAACTAGATGTCTACTGCTAAAAAGTGCGGGAATTGAAGATTAAAAGTACATCAACAAAAATATGCTTCTTAAGATTGGTAAAGTACAAAAAGTGTTTAAAACCTAAAATTATTCCCCCAACACCCTAAGATGCCAAAACTGCAAGTTATCATAACCACAATATAAATCCCAAATCTCAGAAACTCTCCTGATGAGGTCCAAAATTGTTGCATTTATTAAAATAAGCCATAGTAAATAAGTAATCATCATCATCACTAGCCTTATGCCAACTATTTATGATCAACATTATGAATTCTCATCTTCCACCCATTCTTGTTGACTCGTGTATGAGGTGTTAAACTTATCCTTCACAAATCATTTTGAACAACTTCTATTTATGTAATCTTAGGTCTACATATTTTCCTTCATGATACTATGACTCTAATTTTATGACATCATCTAATTGGCATATTTTCTGCCCGCCTAAATCTAATTCCAATCCCCTCATCTTCAATGGATGTTACTCCAACCTCTCTTTTGATATAATCATTCTTTAATTTATCATTCCTAATTTTGCCTCATATCCATCTGAACATTCTCATTTATGCTACATTCAACTTAGCACAACATTTAGATCCATATAACACCATTAGCCTAATTGCAATTTTATAAAACTTACCTTTAATCCTATGACATGTTCCTATCACACAAAATACCTAATACGCGTCTCTATTTTAACCATATAGCCTTACTCTAAAAGTTATATCTGCATATATATCACTATTCTTCTGCATAATAAATTCAAGGCATCTAATTTAGGGGTGTAAACGAGTCGAGTTTTGGCACCATCGAGCTCGGCTCGTTAGTCGGAAAGCGAGCTCGAGCTCGAGCTCGGGTCGAGCTCAAAAGACGAGCTCGAACTCGAGCTCGTCACACTATTAACGAGCTCGAGCCGGCTCGCGAGCTACTTGATTATGATTAGATTTTGCATTTTTCTCATTTTTTCCCGCCTAATTTTTCATTTTGCCGCTTGTCCTTTTGTATTTTAAAAAGTAGAAACACTAGGATTTGTTTTTAGCATGAACCTGCAACATTTTTTTGGGAAAAGTAATTAATAGTTTTTTATTCATACTTTCTTAAAACTTCTCTCCTATATTAATGAAGATGAGATATAGGTTGTACTATCATATCAGAAGTCCTGTCATATAGGCCGAAATAGGTATATTTTTATTGAATAGCCATCCTTTTTTTAAAACTATGCCCAAACTCCTCTTAGCAGATTTATTTTTTTTAACTAAAAATATGTTAGCTAATTAATCTAATTAATTAAATAATTTTGAGCCGGCTCGCGAGCTCACGAGCCAAGCCTGAACCAGCTCGAACTCGAGCTCATTTAATAAACGAGCTCGAGTTTGAGCTCGAGCTCGAAGCTCGATAAGCTCGGTTCGCGAGCTTGTTAACGAGTCGAGTTCGAGCCGGCTCACGAGCCGGCTCGGCTCACTTACACCCCTAATCTAAATATATCACAACTAGCTATTAGAGTCATTACTATATTGGAGTTAGATTAAGGATGTTACTCCAACATCTAATTGGCATATTTTCTACCCGTTGAAACCACCTAAATCTAATTCCAATCCCCTCAAGGCGTGCCTTAGCGCAATTTCTCCCATTTAAGCCTCAAAGCCCACGCAACGAGTTCAATATTTGAGGAATACGCCTCAAGTTTACTGAGGCGCGCCTCGCCTCATGGTTGAGAGGCGTCCACCTCTAAAAATTAAAAAAAAAAAAAAAGCTAGGTACATGCTCGGGGGCAGCGCCCCCTTGGACCCCCGGCAAACCGGTATATTATTATATTCATCATCTTTAATAATAGTTGTTTGTGTTAGTCTGCTTCTTCATGAGTGCATGCTTTGTATAAGCTTTCTTAATGTAGAATAAGTAAAGCATAATTGTTCAAAAATATTTAGGGAAGATGAAGATAAATGATATTGAGGAAGGAGTTGATTGGGAAACATGGACTCTATAGGAGAGGAGGAAGGGCAGAGAGCAGTTCATCATAATGATGATTCAAATGAAGACCCCCTTAGTGATGACAATGTTGATGACTTATGAGTTCTTATATGATATGTCATTACTATTTATTTTTGGAATTATATGTTAATGAAAAGAATACTATGATTTGGGAAAGATGTAGTTTGAGTTGAACAATATTTCATGTTGTCTTATTATTGGGATATTTTGATTTCACTTCATATCTTGTGCATTTTTATATTTTATATATTATTTACTCATTAGTATATACAAATTTTATCATTTTATGTTTACGCAATTTTTTGATTTTGAGGCTTATGCCTCAAAACCCGATTACGCAATTTTAAACATTGAAGTAGATAATTCATTTCTCTGCAGGAAGGCATGACAGAAAAAACCAGCAACCATGTCATTTCACTTCAAACCATATCAGGGAAATTAAGTCAAAATTAAAGCACAGTTTACCCAATGATCTTTCTCCTCATTGCCTGGTTTCATCTTGTTCATCCAGTCAGCCAAACCCTTTTTCTTTTCATTTGCCTGTTCGGATGGCTTGCCACCATCAGCACTTACTCTGCTTCGGCCAACATCACTGCCACCCATCTCCTTAAGCTGGTATTTGGACATATTCATAAGATTAGCATAAATGTAAAATTGTAAACAGAATGCGAAACCTTTTTGGTTAGGAAGCTTAAATAAACATTCTTCTCAGTACAGAACACATTAAAAAGAAAATAAGTGCCACATACATCATGAGCAGGCAATTCAAACTCTAAAAATTCATCAAGTTTGAATCACTATAAACATAGTACAAAGATCCTGAAGGCAAGTAACTAGTACATAGATCAGGAAGAAGGAAATGGATAACAAGATTTCAAATGAAATTTCTAATATTATCTCCTGGAAAACTGGCATATGAAATTTGTCCTACTCTTACTTGACATTGCTCAGGCCTGTAAGCCAAAATTCATATGTTAGGTCAAATCCCAAGACAAAAAAAGCCAAAAAAAGCATATCATACTTCATGAAAAATGTCATGCAAGAAAATTTACATCAAATACAGCAACTTAGGATTTAAATTTCTTACCTGCACAGATGCAGCAGTTACAGTGTCAAGTATGGTAGTGGTGGTGTAACTATTAGATTTCAGTCTGATGCGTTTGGGTTCGATATCAACAGAGCTTTTAGACCAAAAGCAGAATATGGAAGAATCTAGAACCTAAACAAGGAAATCCAAATTCCTCAAAATCAACACATAAATAAGCAAAATAACATTTCCTATGGCATGAATAGCAGCATTTTTTGTATACTTCTATGAACTAGATAATAAACATTACCTCCCATCTTGTCACATTTTCCAATGGATAAATCCTCAAGGTCCTGCTAGTACTAGGATCCAGCATGCGAATTCCATCCAAACCAATCTGTGTGAACAAAATTACAATTTGATGTTCAGTCTAAACACAATGACTGGGATTATGAACTTTGGACACATGGTTCTTTATGAACACAGTTCAATGGGCTATCATACCAGCCACAGTGCTAAAGGAATTTATTTTGTAGCATCTAAACATAATCCAGAGGGTATTAAACTTAATCAAATAGATACCAACAGTAGCAGGAATAAAGAAAAACTAAAAACAAAAAAAGTAAAAAAAAAAACAGCACTGCAAGATGATGTTCTTTATCGACGTAGATTCAAACATAATAACCATGCATCAAACTTGCTGGATTTTTTCATTTTACCAAAGTAAGTTATATTTCAAAGTAATGATGCGGAGCTTGAAAACTATGCCATCTGTATCACAAAAATAAATTGAGAAGAAAGCTCCTCATGATGGTCCTACATTAATTTCCAATAAGAAATTTAACATAACGGTAAATCAAAATTAAGTTGTCAAACATTTAAATGCTTCATCATGCCAAGGATGGCAGCGCACAATATTGATAGAACAAGCACCCACTATTAAATGTAACTTGCAAAGAAGCACGAGTGACTAACTAAATCCTAGCAAGAGAAGGATAAATTCACAAAATAGTCATAGATTAATTACAGTATATGAGGCCATTTCAATCAAAATATTTTCAGAAAGTACAGGAACATGAACTGCAACTGAATATGGACAGCTTGATGGTCTTAGCCTGAAAGATAATAAAAGGCTCACAAATTACATATTCTCGGTTATAACTACATAATACCACGATCTTTATCAGAAACTCGATGGTCTTACCCTGAAAAATATTCATAAGATCAGCATAAGAAAATTTCCTTTCACAAGGATTATAAATGCAATGCACAAACTTAAGGTTTCCATTTAAAATACCAAAACAGTTTATCATATCTCAGGCAGCATGACTTACTACTCCAGCAATAATGTCAAAGCGCAACTTCACTACTAGACCATTGCCTATAAAAACTCTAAACATGAAAAAAGCTAAATTTCAAGATCATAATGATATCAGCAAGGAAAAAAAATTAATGAACAAATAGCCAAAGAAAAGCTAGTTACAATCAGTCAATCACACTAACCTAAATTGCATGAACAGTCTCAAAACAGTAAAGAAAGGTATTACCAAAAAATGGAAAGATAAGAAAATGTAGAAAAATTAGACGACCAGCAAAAAACAACTACCTTTGATTAGGGTTGCAAACAAATTCGTGCATTCAAACAACTCAATACTCATGCATAGAAAGCTTACTTATGTTTGCTTATTTAAATAATTAAACAAGCTTGAACCCAAAAAAAAAAAAAATTAAGGCCCAATGTATAAATGAACAAGTTTGAACATTAATTCGCTCTATTACATGTTTCATAAATGAGTGTGCTTAAAAATAAATAAATAAATAAATGAGTGTTCTTGTTTTTTACCACATTGCTTGCAAAACGTTCTATAAAATGCTCACTTATTGATGGCTTAATTTCTTATTTGGTTACTTATTTTTTTATTTTTATGCTAATTTTCTTATATTTATGTTTTTGTGTTAATTTTGTTATGTTGATGTTTTTCTATTAATTCTTTTATAGTCCATGCACTTTAAAAACTATATATATATATATATATTAGAGGTAAAATCTTATGAAAATACCAAACAAATGGGGTATTCACATACATGTCCCAAGTTTCTTATATATTTACATGTTTGACACCTAAATCATTATATTTCTTTATATATCACTTAAGCATCTAAATTACATCAAAATAAATGCATGAAAAGACGTGCTTTACTTTAAATAAGTTAATATTAATAATATTTTTACATGATTTAGAGATTTAAGTGTTATATAAACAAACATAAAAAGTTAGGTGTTAGCTACGTAAATGCATAAATTTTTTGTGCCATATATGTAAATCACTCTAGATAATACTTATATCAACTTTAATTAAAGATTGTAAATTCATTTACATCTTACAATTAGGTTACATGTTTATATCATTAGCATAAAACACATAATTAGTGAGGCATCATTACAGTTTGAATTCCATTAAAAAATTATTAAATAAATTAGAACAAGATTTTAAATTTAAGATCACGTTCAAATTTGCTTAGAACTTGATATGAAAATAAATGAACCAGCATGAACAAGATAGTGATTGGCTAGACTAGGATCTGCTCATTTACTGCCCTAATTTTGATAAAAAGTACTGACTATGCAAAAAGTAACATCACCAGCATATTGAAGCTTGAACTCGACAGGCTAAGAATAAAATTAAAAGAACACAGACCATCCATTCAAACCTGGCAAAGAACGTCGGTGGTATTCACGTTCGTCCCTTCTGGCAAAAGTTTAACCCGGAATTTCTGCACTCCACTCTTAACATCCTGCTGAGCTTCTGCCTTTGGTACCGCCCTAACAATCTTACCCGCACTCCCAACTTGGTCACCCCTACCGGAAGAAAAGCTAGTCGACCTCCCATAATCATCAAACCCGCCCCAAGCCGATGAAGATGAAGACCTAGGTAACGTTCCACGAGCACCGTACGGCTCTGATCTACCGCCATCATAGGCATAGACACCCTCTCCTAATCCATCATCCTGCGCACTAACATGCCCATATTGAAACTCCCGCTCCGGCCGCTTTTCATAAAAATCCTGATCATAACCAGGCCGGCTTTGCCCGAAGGATCCGGCAGCGTTCATGTCATACTTTCCAGAATTGTCATTGTAGTACCCAACGCCATGATCGAATCTCGGGACGCCACCCTGATAGGTGGTTTCGCTAGGAGCGTAGACAGAGGTGGTGACGGGAGGAGTAAGATCGGACCTCTGAGTGGGATCAGGATTGGGATTTGGGAGGTTATAATTGTGATGGGAGTCATAGGAATGGTATGGGGCAGAAGAAGGTTGCTGGAGATTAGAATACGGCGCCAACGCCGGACTGGAGGACAGCTCCGGCTGGAAGAGAGATGAACTGTAGTTCGCATAGGGAGGGTATTGCGATGCCGCGTCTTGAGATTGGGATTGAGGCTGGGAATACGATGGAGCCGAGGGCGGTACCGTTGGGATGGGATCCGCATGTTGGGAAAAGGGAGGGTAAGGGGCGGTAGAGGCGGACATGGAGGACGAATAATGGGAAAAAGGCGGAGCGGAGGCGTATGACGGATGAATCGAATTAGGAGGAGCAAACTCGTTGGGATTGGGAGTAGGGTTAGGGTTCGGATGGGATGGAGGATACTGATATGCGTAGTATTGGGAACCGAAGTCGCTCCCTTGCTGCATCTTGATCACTTCGATCTCTTCAACAATAAGGGGTAGCCAGGGAGATCGGAGGGTAATTGTTCAGGGTTAGAACTCGATTGATCTGAACTTGAGGAAAAATCCTACGATAACTCAACTTGTAGACAGATCTATCCTTTGCGTTCTTCCACCTTCAGCAGCGGAGGACTCGGGGACATTAGGAATAGGTCGGTGGAGTTTGTTGTTCCGGCGGAGCAACGTATAGATTGAATAAGTTACCGACATGAGTATACAAACATAACGTGTAGGATATGCCGTAAAAAATTTTAACTTATACTTTGAAAATATTATTAAAAGAAAGCGGGATTTGCATACTTCTATATTACATATTTAATATTTAAATATTATATTCCTAGCACTCAAATATTATTTTGACAATAAAAAATATCATTCTGTTAAAATAAAGCCTCACTCCGTCTCTTTTATTCGGCAATCCCTAACCTGCCAACATGAGGACATCAGGCCTTATTTGGTTATCCAAATTATTGAAAAAAATCTCTAAAATATGTCGTTATTGTAAATTGTTTAGTTATTCCATAATCACTAGTTGTATTATTCGTTAGAAGAATTGCTCCAGGTTTAAATATTTCGTAGCAGAAATTGGGAAACAACAAAGTTTATTATGGGTCTTTTTCGATTAATAGCACTACTTGGGAAAGTGCTCCTTGAAAGATTTGCTCCAACCTGCAAAGGTTTCGCAAAGCATTGCTTCTATAGCATCACCTGAGAAGTTTCGGTTAACAACAAGCAGAATGAATGTAGCAAAAAAAGAGATGCTAATGATGCAAAAAACATAACAATTTTTCTTGTGATAAAGAGCACTTACCATCAAAAAAATGAAGCGTCAAAAGAAGGAATAGAAAGGTGTGGCACAAATGTAAATGAGGAGTTCAAAGTAAACTTTTTGAACATACCAAATGTTTCATAGGAATCCGTTCATTAAATTCGAAGTGTTGTAGCTAAGGTAAATTTTGCAAACTTAAGACAAAGAAAAAACATAGAGAAGAATAAGAAGGGAAGAAAATGACAAATGTAAATGAGGAGTTCAAAGTAAACTTTTTGAACATACCAAATGTTTCATAGGAATCCGTTCATTAAATTCGAAGTGTTGTAGCTAAGGTAAATTTTGCAAACTTAAGACAAAGAAAAAACATAGAGAAGAATAACAAGGGAAGAAAATGCAGCAGAGAGCTCATCCGGGAAATGCAATAGCTCGCTTGGAAAGAGCAGCTACGGATACACGCAGGAAAAAACCTATTCTCGTGCAAAAAGCTCATGCAGGAAGGAAGAGGAGAGGGAGTGAGGGATTACTGTTGACGGAGTGGTAATTTTGTTGTTAAATTAGTGTTTAGGTGGTATGAATGTAATATTTAAGTATTGAATGTTAAATATATAATATAGAAATAATAAAATTGTATGTATGTAAATCCCCCTAAAAAATATTGTCCTCTATTCTTGAGTAGATTTGATTAGAATAAGTTTTATAGATTTTATTATTGTACCTTATCTTAAATTATATATATATAT